CCAGGTCGAAGCTGCAGTGGCCGGGAGCGGCCACTGCACTCCAGTCTGGGCAACAGAGTGAGACTCCAATTCAAAAAAAAAAAAACACACACACAAAAGGAAAAAAAAAAAGAAAATATACAAATGACTAATAAGCACATTAAATGATGTTCATCACTACTAGTCTTAAGGGGAATGCAAATGAAAACCACATTGAGATAGCACCTCAAACCCACTAGGATGGTTTTAACCAAAATGATAGATAACAAGTGTCAGTGAAGATGTGAAGAAATTGGAACCAAAATACACTGCTGATGGCAATGCAAAATAATGCAGCCACTTTGGAAAACAGTATAGCTGTTCTTCTCAAAGGTTAAACATAGATTTACCATATTACCGAGCAATTCCACTCTAGGTACATACCCAAGAGACATGAAAACATTTGAATACACAAAAAAACGTGATGGTTACACAGCTCGGCAAACACACTAAAAACACTGAAATGTACACTTTAAACAGGTGGTTTATATGGTATGTGAATTATATCTCACTAAAGCTGTTCAGAGAGACACAGAGAGAGAGAGAAAGAGAGAGAGAAAGGAGGTCATTGGTCATCTATTGGGCCTTCAGGTCTGATCAAGTCCTGTTTAGAGTGTGCTACACCTCCTTTGCCCTTCTAAGCTGTAACTGCAGGGTAAAAAATCAAGACCTGTTTCCTCTTAATTATATCACCAGTGGATCCATAAAAACTATAAAATGAACTATTAAATAATGCAGTAGCCTAGTAACTTAAGAATATCACTACAGTGGCTCAGCCTGTAATCTCAGCACTTTGGGAGGCGAAGGCGAGTGGATTGCCTGAGCCCACAGGTTCGAGACCCACCCGGGCAACTTGGTGAGACCTCATCTCTACAATAAATAAAAAAAAATTAGATGGGCATGGTAGCGCATGCCTATAGTTCCAGCTACTTGGAAGGCTGAAGTGGAAGGATCGCCAGAGCACAGCAGGTTGAGACTGCGATGGCCAGGGGTGTGCCACTGCACTCCAGTCTGGGAACAGAGTGAGACTTCAACTCAAAAAAAAAAAGAAAAGAATATCACTTAAAAACTTCATATCCCTTCAATGCAATGATATAATTGATGCAAGGAAGACAGAACTTTGCCAAAGAATTTTATTTCACATGAATTCATTTTAACAATCAAGTCTCATTAGCATTCCAAAAGAAAGACGAATATAGCCACAAAACAAAGCAAAAATATCTGGTATTCATAACAAACGTCTTGATGGTTTTAGAATGAAAGTATTTGTTACAGAGAAGGAACAAGTGAGGTAGAGAAGTCGACAAGAAACCAAAGAATATAAGATTCCTATATTTCTAAATAATTTCTCTACTTGGTATTAGAACCAGAATCCTAAGGACAATTTCACTGCTGTTGCCCTTGAAACCTTTGTTGCATGCTCACTCCATCCCATGCAGTACATTAAGCCTCTTACATATATTACCTAACTCACTTGATCTTCATCTGCAACAAAGCTGCTATGAAGGCCCTCAAAGTTCTCCTCAAGTCCCTACTCTGCCCTGTAGCTCTGCAGTTCTTCTAACTTCTTGCTGTTTTGAGAGATATCACAGAACTGAAATTTCTTTTAAGCTAAACTCCACAAATAAGGAGTCAAGGTTTTTCAGTCCTATGACAGTGAGTTTCTAGATCATTTGTTCATCCAAACGAACGATGAATGTTGAGTATCTGTTTGTTCCAGAGACTGTTAAAGGCACTCAGCGACAGAAGTAAAAGATATGGAACCTTGTCCCAAGACAGTAAAGATAGCAGAGTGAGGAAAACAACAGAGAGACTCAGTAGAGCCAAAAGTGTTAGGGAGCTCAGTGGAGTGGGGGTGTCAGGGAAGACTCTCAAATGAGGTGATCCTGGAGCTGAACTTTACAGACTGACAAGTTAGAAAAGAAGGAGGAAAGTCATGCTAGGTACAAGAACAACATGTGCAAAGGCACAGTGACAGGAGAGCATGGCATATTCAGGGACTAACAAAAGAGTTGATCACTGCTGAAAAATACAATGCCGCCGGCTTGGTGGCTCAGCCTGTAATCCCAGCACTTTGGGAGGCCGAGGCAAGTGGATTGCCTGAGACCCACCTGGGTGATTTGGCGAGTCCTGTCTCTACAGTCAATCAAAAATTAGCCGGGCATGGTAGCTACGCGCCTATAATTCCAGCTACTTGGAAGGCTGAAGCGGAAGGATCGCCAGAGCCCAGCAAGTGGAGCCTGCGGTGGCCAGGAGCGTGCCACTGCATCTGGGCCACAGAGTGAGACTCGAACTCAAAAAAAAAAAAAAAAACAAGGGAAGAGAAAGGAGAGGAGCTCAGCAGTGTGTCTGTCACCAAGGGTCCCACTAAGAGGACTGGAATTCATCCTGATGAGAACAGAAAACCACAGAAGTGGTCAACCATCCTCCATTCAATCCATACAGCGCTCTGCTATCAGACTGATCCTTATTCAGCAAACCTAAACATGCATGCCCGGCATTCAAGGCTCCTCATGTGTTGCCTGCACAAATAGGCCTTGGATCCTGTGGGGCCCTGTTCTTTCTTCCATCCCACTCCTCACAGACAGCCCCCATTGCCACCTCAGGTGGATCAGAAGTGCCCATTTGATCCTCAGCCCCAGTGTTGGTGTCCATTCCTGTGCTTGGCTCTTCACAGCAGCAGAGGGCAGAAGAGGCCCATAAAAACTCTTGATAAATTAAAACTATTGACAAATCCCAGCCAGATAACAATATTACTAGACAGGTTTTGTGCAGTGCTTCACAGACGTTAATATGCACACAAGCTCAGGAATCTTGTTAAAATGCAGATTCTAAATCAGTAGTTGTAGGCCAGACCAAAGATTGTATATCTCTAACAAGCTCCCAGTGATGCCAATGCTGCTGGTTCAGGGAACACACTTTGGGAGAATAGCACTTTTCATACTACGGTGAAAGGTCTCTCTATGGTTTTTTTTGTTATTGTTGTTGCTGTTGTTTGCTTTTTTGAGTCGGGGTCTCACTCTGTCACCTAGGCTGGCTGGAGGGCAGTGGCACCATCATAGCTCACCACATCCTGGACTTCCTGGGCTCAGATGAGGCTTCACTGGTAGCTTCAAACTCCCAAGTAGCTGGGGCTATAGGCACACCCCACTGTGCTCAGTCAATTTTTTTACTTTTGTAGAGATGAGATCTCACTATGTTGCCAAGGCTGGGAAGGGCTCTTTTTAAAATTCCCAATCCTTCATAAAGCAATACTTTCAGAAATATAAAATAAAAATGAATTATAAGAAAAATGAAAAATTTTAAAAGACATACAAAACATAAGTCCCAACTTTGTATTATTGGCTTCAATAAACATATTACCCCCTCAAATAACAAGGTCATCTGAGAGAGCTCTTCCATCATTTCCTCCCACGAAGGCAACTCCAACTGCAGAAACAGAAGAGCTCACGGCATACTCACTACCAGGTGTCATATCTACCACTAGATTTTATGGGGAAAAAAGGGAGGACGCATACTAAAGGAATGCAAGGAATTTCTTTTGGGGTTTCGTGAATTCCCCACTATAATGGAGCTTATCAAAAAGAGTTTTTGATGAGCAGAGTCCCCAGCATTTCAACACCTACCTTGCCACTCTCCCTCGAAGATCTCCCAAACCAGAGAGCTGACGCAGCTCCAGGGTCTTTAAGGCAGAATTAGTTCCATAGCTAATGTTGTCCCTGGCACGAATCTGCTCCTGGAGTACCTGGGCAACACACAAAACCACTAAGGGAGTCATTTGAGAATGTACATGCTTCCACAAAAGCTTTTATGCTTCTGGCAATGAGTAAGAATGCTTAACTCATTTAGTCATAAGAGGCTCCTTTTCAACAGTCACCTGATAAACACACATACAGAGAACCAGAAGGCTTGGAAAGAGAGAGACCGTAGAGACTACTCCCCAGATCAAGTCTCTTAATTGACCAAAAAATCTAAGTCCATTTTTATTATCTCTTCCTCAGTAATGAAGGCATTTTCTTTTTATTTTATTTTATTTATTTATTTATTTTTGAGTCTGGAATGCAGTGGCATGCTCCCGGCCACCGCAGCCTCAACCTGCTGGGCTCCGGTCATCCTTCTGCCTCAGCCTTCCAAGCAGCCGGAACTACAGGCGCGCTACCAAGCCTGGCTAATTTTTGATTTTTGTATAGTTGAGGTCTCGCCAAGTAGGGTGGGTGGGTCTCGAACCCTCGGGCTCAGGCAATCCACTTGCCTTGGCCTCCCAAAGTGCTGGGATTACAGGCTGAGCCACCAAGCCCGGCCGGCATTTTCTTCTTAATGTAGTATTTGCTGGGTCCATAGGGCGAAGGTATGAAGAGCTTTTTTTATTGTTTTATTATAGTTTTGAATTCCTCTTTGTTCTAAAGATATTTAGGTATCTAAGGATTACTTAGAATTGTGTTTTTTCATTTTAAGCAGTGAAGTTTTGGGGGGATCATTTTTTATTACTATTTTTTTTTTAGTTGGAGTCTCACTCTTTTGCCCAGGCTGGAGCACAGCGGCACACTCACGGCCACCCCAACCTCAACCTGCTGGGCTCCAGTGATCCTTCCACCTCAGCCTTCCAAGTAGCTGTAACTACAGGCCCGTGTTAGCATGCCCAGCTAATTTTTTATTTATTGTAGAGACGAGGTCTCACCAAATTGCCCGGGCTGGTCTCTGAACCTGCAGGCTCAGGTATTCCACTCACCTTGGTCTCCCAAAGTGCTGGATTACAGGCTGAGCCACTGAGTTATTTCTAATTGTATTGGTTTACAAAAAAAAAAGGTCTGTAAAATATTTAGGTTTTTGAACATGTTAAGGTTTGCTCTGCAACACCTGATTGTTTTTTTTAAATGGTCTACAGACATGCAAATACATATTTTCTATTCATGGAACGAAAGGTTCAACATTGTCTATAAGATGGAATGTGTGCAATAAATAATTCCATTATTCATTTTCTCTAGATCTTATTTATTTTTGTCTACTAGATATTTCCAGCTGTGAAAGAGGAATTATGAATCCTCCCAGTGTAAAATATTTTCAACTTCTCCTTACATTTTTAATCGTTTTTACTTTATATACTTAGCTATCATTTTGCTTGGTATATACAGATTTATAACAGTTGTTTATTACTGTTATATAATAAGCTTATTTATCCTATTTAGGTGCTTTTAATACTGTTTCACTTTATCTGATATTAATATTGCTACCATGTTTTAGAAATAATAAAGCAAACACTCACTTGGTCTAATTGTATACCAGGCACTGTTCTCACCACCTTAGGCAAGTTAACTTATTAAATCTCACAACAACCTATGAAAATAGTATTATTGTTATCCCCATTTCACAGATAGTGAACTCTTCAAGAGTTTAAGTAACTTGCACAAAGTCACACAGTCAATAAGTGACAGAGCTGGGATTAGAATCCTGTGAGCCTGGCTCCATGCAATGTGCTCTCAACCATGACATGCACATATACTGCTCTGTTTGATTTGTTAACCCTTTCATCTCACATTATGTTCAAAATTGTTGTTGGTTGTTGTTGTTTTCCTTCTCCTTTTCTTTATTTTGACTCATTTAATCAGGTTGCCCATCATTCCCTTTCCTTCCCTTGTTAAGTGGGGAAAGTTCCTGGGCACTGTTATTCCACACATGGGGGGAACCTTCCCTTCCCAACATCCACATCAATGCATGTCTAGTCTGAGCTCTACCTTTGCGTGGCTCCCTCATTTGAAGACATTCAACACACCTCCCTCATCTACCCTCCTTCACCCCCAACCCAAGATGACTTATTTGGGAGAATTTTACAAATGGGCAGGAAAGCCCAATTAAAGATGATATAATTATGCTTGCATAAATTATTTCTGTATTCCTTTTTTTCAACTATTTTTATCTTTTATTTTTTAAGTATAACATACATTCAGCAAAGTACATTTGTGTACGTTTTTGAGGATTTTCAAACTTCCTAGTAAAAAACAGAAAGTAGGAGTGTGAGTATTCTGTCTTCCTTATTGAACCTGCTTGAGGCCACTATGGATAAGTAACTGACAGTTAAAAAAAAATTCACTGAAATGAATTTGGAATGCCCAGACCTCTCTGTTAGTTCCTGCAATTTCCAGCTTTTTTCTGAATGAACCTGTAGTTTCTGCAGAAGAGGAATGCAAACTAGTTCGATCACCTGTGAATGACAAAACGTGAGTCATCTGAGCAATTCTTGCAAAGCAGCTTCAGATCTGACTAATGTGGCTCTGGCACTCTCCCACTGATGGGAAGGCGCCAGTGAGCTCCTGTGCTCTCTCTCTCTTAATAGGAAGTAACACCTATTCGTTGTAGTTAGTAGAAAATAACACATTCCTTTTGTATGTAATGCTTCAGACCTTAGGTTATAATAAGACATACGACCAGTGGTTCTCAAACATCTTTGGAGTGCATAAGTATCAAACAGATGGCTTGTTACACAGACAAATTCTTGGGCCCCTTCCTCAAAAAAGCAAAGCTAAAGAATAGGAACATGGATATTCATAGTCTACAGAACACTCCAGAAGAAACTCTGCATTTGACACTACAGAAATGGCTAAGGGCAATGCCAGTCTTGGTTCATTTGAGTTGTTTTTCAATCACTAAGCAAAGAAAATGGAAAGTAATTCACAAAAGAGGAGCTAAAAAAATTAAGCAATACATTTTTTTAAAGGTTCGACCTTTCTGGTAAGCAAAGAAACAGGAAATAAGAAATCATCCCATTGTTACATACAGCTCTGGTGTGGATGTTGATAATGGGGGAAGGTTATATGTGGGGGGCCAGAGGGTGTAGAGGAACTCTGTACTTTCTGCTCAGTTTTGCTGTGAACCTAAAATTGCTCTTACAAATAAAGCTGATTATTTATTTATTTATTTTATTTTTGTTTTTTGCAGAGACAAGCTTTCACCACAGTGCCCGCGCTGGTCTCAAACCTGCAGGCTCAGGCAATCCACTCACCTCGATCTCCCAAAGTACTGGGATTACAGGTTGAGCCACTGAGCCCAGCTGAGCTTTTTTTTTTTTTTTTTTTGAAAAAGACCAGTTTTACTTTTTTTTTTGAGTTGGAGTCTCACTCCGTCGCCCAGACTGGAGTGCAGTGACACGCTCCTGGCCACCGCAGACTCGACCTGCTGGGCTCCGGTGATCCTTCCGCCTCAACCTTCCAAGTAGCTGGAACTACAGGCACACGCTACCATGCCCGGCTAATTTTTGATTTATCATAGAGATGAGGTCTCGCCAAGTTGCCCAGGCGGCCCTCGAACCCGCGGGCTCAGGCAATCCACTTACCTCAGCCTTCCAAAGCACTGGGATTACAGGCTGAGCCACCAAGCCCGGCTCAGTTTTACTTTTTAAAGAAGTAAATATTTTAAATTTATAGTACTAAAAAGTATATTAAAAAATCAAAAAGGGCCAGGCCCAGTGGCTCACACCTGTAATTCCAGTGCTTTGGGAGGCTGCGGTAGGAGGATCACTTGACACCAGGAGTTCATGACCAGCTTGGGCAACACTGTGAGACCCCTTGGCCTATCTTTAAAGAATCTGGCTTCCCAAGACAGTATGGAATAGAAACCCCATGTGAATTTCAATGTGTTCTATAATGCTGTGTATGCAAAGGTGATGACAATCCCTGCCCTGGGACCTCTGCCACCCAGACAGGCCAGCATTGCCAGAAACGACCAGGAAAGAAACAGCTCTTGGTGTTTCTCCTTTTCCAACTTTTCCTAAGCTGCTAAAAATTTGGAAACAAAAGTGTAACTCCAACATGCCTAGAGAAAGCCTAATTTTTAATTTAAAATGTTTAAAAATTATTCAGACATGGTGGTATGCACCTGTAGTCTCACTGAGGGGAGAGCATCCCCAGGAATTTGGGCTCACAGTAAGCAATGATCAGGCCACTGCACTTCAGCCTGGGTGACACCATGTCTCTATTTAAAAAAAAAAATCAAAAAGCTTTCAGCATCTGCTCGCTTTAAAAAAATATAAGGCACAGTAGTTAGCCCTTCCTGATACAACTCTTCTGGAGAGTGATCCTGCAAAATGTATTCATAAAGTTCATAACCTGTGACCCAGTAACTCTAGTTCTTGTACGTACTTTTAAAGGAGATAATTTTTAAAGTGACAAAAATGCATGCACAAAGATATCTTCATAGTATGCTATACTTACCAAGTGTTTTACAAAGTACATTATTATGCAAACACTAAAAGGTTCATGAAGGACTTTTAAATACAAGAGAAAACATGTATGATTTAATACAAAGCAAAAATAAAGGATACAAAAAAACACACAGCATGATTCTAGCTGTGTATTAAGAAGCATATAAAACACTAGAATGTTAACGTTTTGCTTATCTCTAGGGTAAAATTATGATTGATGCCCTTTTTTGTGTATTTCCCATAGTAGCCATACATTACTTTTATAACTAGAAAAAAAGTGTTGGTTTTTTTAATGCTTAGAAATAACAATAGCCCATTTAACTTTCAGAATTCTTATGTAGATGAATAAGGTATTGTATTAGAAGTGCTTTGAAGAATACAGGAAAGAATTATACCTGACCTTAACAAATCATTCACATTACTAAACAGGAATATGAAAACAGAAGACATTAGAGAGCTTATTATTTAAAGGAATTCTAGAATGAAAGCTGAGAAAAATAATCTCTCTGTAAAGTCAGTAACATTCCCTAATTTGTTATTTTGGAAAAATA